GAGAGAGAGAGAGAGAGAGAGAGAGAGAGAGAGAGAGAGAGAGAGAGTATATGAGTCACTGTTTAACCGTTAAAAGAAGAACAAATGAACCAGACTAAACCACCTGTAAAAGGGTGGTCCGCCTCCCGGTTCACACCCGCAGGTCCTAAGGGCAAGACCCTTTTAGTTTAGGCTCGAGCTAGCATAACTTGAGTTCAAATCTGAGTCGGGCCCAAATCAAAGACTCAAGCCCTTTTAATCAAGTACTTTAATGATAGGCTCTTGTTAATTTGAACCACGTTCTCGTCTTGGTGCTGAGACACAGTTTTCAACCAACTAGTTTCATTGGAAAGCCATTGGAGATGACATAAATAGGTAAATACCTTTTTTACGAGTAACAAATCTGTCATGCAAACTGAGTGTTTTGTTCTTCTTGGTGTTGTCAGAATTAGTATGTGAAGCTAGCATTTAGCTTGTGTCTTGTCTTGGCACATACATTGCTATTGCACTTGTGGCATGGCACTAGCACTTAAGTGGTTTCCTTGGATAGCGTGAAGGTTTTGTGCCGCTGTGTTAGTCCTTTGGCTGATGAAATGTACTATCTTTAGATAGAAATGGTCCCTGATAGTGTCCTAGCTGTGATGGAAAATTTTCCATGCCATTGGCTGAAACTGATGTGAGACATAACTTTAAACTTTCAAAACATTAATTATCTCAATACATTGGAACCCCTTGGTGGCGAGGGATACCCTTCCCACATATTACCTATGAGGTGGACATCAAAGATGGCTTGCCTTGGAACCTTCGCAGGTGGTAGTGAGGGATATTCCTTCCTGGTAAGTACCTATAAGGTGGACATTGAGTGTTAAGCTAGCTGCTATGTTCCACATGAAGGTTTTGGGTGACACTTCTCCTTTTCTTACTCTTGGACAGCACCACATTGAGTTGTAGGCTTCTTTTTCTTGCAGTAAAATGTCACATTTCACAGCATATTGTGTGTCTTCCTTTTGTTGAAAAATCTGTGCATGTGTGGGTGACCAAAGCACATCACCCTTGTGATCGTTTGGGAAGTTAACTTACTTTCTATGGTATTACGACGAAGAAGTATACATGGATTTGCAAGTAGACAGCAACCCATAGCAGGCTGGCATGGGTTGGAACAGGTCAGCACATGTTATGCCAGAAACACATTGGCATACATAATGACTACTTGTGCCAATAGTCCCAACATGCTTG